CTGCAGCTTAAAGGTTGAAGGAGCTGCCCACTGATAATTTGGGTAGGTTGCCACACACTTATTTTGCAAAACTACAGAGGAGTAAAAAAATCTGCTGACATTTGATTATGACTTTTATGGTCTTCTTTCTTTAGTTACTATTTTTAAATCATAGAAATATGAAGGCAAATGACAACAGATCATTTTTATTACTGTGATTATCATTATTATAGCTCTTTAGATAATAATGGAACAAAAATCTTCAATCTCTGTGCTATGCTTAATAGCCAATCTGTTTTGATAAGACCTGGATGAATTCCCCATATTTTAGCATTTCTTGTGATGACCAATTTGCTCACTTTGACGACTCTTTTCCTTTTGTCCCTAAGGACAGTAATGCCCCATGCATACTATTATCACTGCTTTAATTCCATGGGACACTGCTGAAAACTGAAATATAGCTCCTTTATTTCATATGTGAGAAAACTGTGACCTAAGCCAAAAAGAGATTAAATGATTATTCAGAACTCTTAAATTTTAGTCTAGTGCTATTTTTTCAACCACAGTGGCTATAAATTTGGCTTACTGGTTTCATCATTAGTTGATAAGAATTTTGGTATGTTTTATATAACAAGCTAGTAGAATCTAACGTAAATTAAAACATCCTGTTTAGGGCTGGGGTTGTGGCTCAAGCGGTAGCGTGCTCGCCTAGCGTGCATGCGGCCGGCCAGGGTTTGATCCGCAGCACCACATACAAACAAAGATGTTGTGTCCTCCATAAACTAAAAGATAAATATTAAAAAATTCTCTCTCTCTCTCTCTCTCTCTCTTAAAAAAATCCTATTTAGCAGTATCAAGATGCTGAACCAATAGGTGTTTATTAAGTGAACAAGACAAAAATAATATGAACTAAAGTTTTAAGGTTGAGTGTTCTGAATATAATAAAGATTTTCCCTATTAATTTTTGGAGTATGACTAAAGAAATTGAAAATTGTTTTACAGTGTATTTCTGGGAAGGAATATTCCCTTTATGTTGAGAGCAAACTCTTTAAAGAGATGCTTTTCATAAAATTAAATTGACAATTTTCCAAAAAAAAAAAAACCAATTTAATTAAAAATGTTAACTTCCAAAATCTGAAAACTTGTGAATTAATTTAAAAGACTTAAAACTTTGGGAAAAATAAATAAAATAATTGAAATTCTTGTAAACTTCATCTGGCAAGAAAGCTATGATCTCTATGATAGAGTTATGCTAATTGTCCTACTTGTTCTTCTACCTGGAACTCGAGTAGTAATTAAATAGAGGAGGAGAAATAATATCAGCAGCAAGTTCTCCATATGCCAAGCACTTTATGCATATTAGCACACTCATTTCACCACATCATGTATATCATTATCCTCTCCTAAAGGCAAAAAGTAAACAATTTGCCAAAAGTGGCACAGATAGGAAATGAGTGCTAGATTTGAAATTTAAAGCTATGTTTATCTGGCTTCCAGCCTATTTTCTTTTAGCTATAGCATATGCTCTCCACTCTGAATTAAATAAATGTAATTATTGGCAGCTATATATATATGAGTAATACATGTAAGTTTATGATATCACACTGCAAATTGTGTATGTGTGTGTACACATGTATATGCAGACTGTTCTCTCTATTGATACGGCTAACTTTCCCCTTAGTTCTTGGATTTCCACCAGTTATACTTATTTTACATGTAGCAAGAAAGAGTTTTTAAACTTAATCCTTTAATTTGACCCTGAAAGGGCAGCTGTGCTTCACCTCTGATTAAATACAAGTAACAAAAGATAACGAGAGAACAGTGATGTGTTCACTGAAGGTAGAGTTCAGGCAGAAGTTGAGAAGACTTAGGAACTGGAAGACAAGACAAAATCCTGAATTAATTTTATGATACTACATCATTAATTCTTAAGTCACTGTCCAAATTGCTAGACACACCTGCTGTTCATTTTGGAACAGTGATGTATTTTAAATTCAAACATAATGAGTGATGGTCCACATCTCTTCTCCATTCTACTAATATAGATAACAATGAATTGACCATGTTAAATATATTACAGGAAACACACTCTGCACTACTATCAGTTTCTAGAACACAGATACAAATTCAGACAAAAAAATCTATAAAACACTAGAATTCAATAATTAAAAATAATTATGATAGCCTTTACATATTCCTAAAATGTGTCATTTTATGTGGATTTTTCTAGAGCTCATGAGTAATAGAACATATACCCTCCAATTTTATCTAAAGTTCAGATCAGATTTTGCAATAATATAATTTGTAAGTTGTATAATACCTAGATATTTCAAGGAATGATATACTGCAGATAGGAAAACCAAATAGCATTCAAAAGTTAATCCAATATTAAAAGACCATCAATTCCTGCAGAGTGAAAACATAGAAAGAAGATTTGCAAAAAAGGCAAAGTAAATAAAATGACCACTAAATCTATTGATAATATTGTTAAGACAATATGAAACGCTTTAATGATTAGTTGTATAAGTATGGTTTCTTGGCCATGTAGGAAAAGGAAGAAAAAGAAGGTCAATAAACATAATCATGCATGCTACATGAGCCAATGTGTTAGAACTAAGGAAAAAATGCTAAACTGAATGGGAACCATTATAATTGCAATAGGTTATATAGCTAAACCTACCAATGCCTAGCCAATTCCAGCATTACCATTGAGAGCTAAACTCTGACCCAACAGGCGATGGCTCTAATAGCACTGAACCATTCCATTTCAAATTGTGTTTTAGTTTTATGCCCCATTAATTGAACATTTATATTAATTTTTAACATTAAATTCAATTCACTGTTGAGTCATGTGCACGGTTTTGCTGGCTCTGCAGTAATTCTCTTTTTTTTCCTACAATAAATTATTACTCCATAAAATGGAAATGTTCCCTAATTAGGATTCAATTGAGATATACCAGCAGAAAAAAAAAAGTTTAGGCCAAAAGAACCTTCCTGCTATTAGGACAAGGTGATAAAACTTTAAATATGGAAATAAAAAATAAATAAACTTGGGAAAGAAGGATCTTCAAATAGAACATTCTCAAGAGAGGTTGGATGATATTTCAGGTACTGCTTTTGCTTTCAAAGATGGCATTCCAACCCAAAAGGCAGAAAATGTCTTAATAATGTTAATACAAAGTGTATGTGTTGGAAACACACTTGCAGGTTTATTCAAAGTAGTCAGCAGGTGTATAGCAGGCATAATGACAATGGACCAGATTCTACATTCATTTAAGAAAGTACAGGGCGAGGCTTTAGGTATGAGTTATTGACCCATGCTTCCAATTTAATTAAAGGTCTCTAATGAATTCATTTTAAAGATTAAATTATTTTAAATTGCTTTTGGCACCTAAACAGATATGGCTGCCACTCTACTAATGATGAAGTTACTTGTTTATTGTTCAGGATTTTATTTTTGCTAATTTTTTTTCATTTAAAACTGAACTTACACATTCCTATCTCAGAGAGTCTTACCAAGTTCAGGTATCTGTTTCATGAAAATGTATTATCAAAAGAGTGCACAGTTAGTGATATTAGTAGATCAATATGTAATCTTTTCCCTATTACTGTCCAGAGGAACAACTCTGGCTTAGGAGACAGGCAAAATGAGTGTGCTCAGTAATATTAGTCTACATAAAAATATCTCAAGAAGCTAGGTCATTATCATTAGTCATGATAAGAACTAAGAAGGTCTCCTTGGATGTATAAGTCAAAAGAAAGTTTATGTGGCAGAATTATGTAAGGAAACTTACAGTTGTGCCTGCCCACAAACCATGCAATTTGGAAACAGCCAAGAAACAAAACCATAGAAAAGGAGGAATAAATACAACATGTATTAGGGGTTATTATGCAACTACAAAGATTCAATATGATCCTGGCAATATAGCAAAAAATAGTTATGGAAAAAGAAGCTATTTCTTATGCTCAGTAGCTAATTTTCAAACATATGTACCTGTATTTGAAACTTTGAGCATTTCACACATTTTTCTGTATCTGAAAAAAAAATGGATCCAGACTGATATTGTGTATCAATATAGTTGAAAACAGTTAATATAAAGGTAGCCAAAAGCAGAGTTCAATAAGAATTCAAAAAGAGGATATTATTTTGATTGCTGATAAAGTACTTCTAATGTACACTTTGCTCATATTGGAAAAGAATAATTTACTGTTCAATTTTGCTAGAAAAGATGAAATATCTACAGAAACATGATTTCACCAAGTTTTTAATTAAATAAGAAGCTAGATTAAAATGTCTAGATAAAACTGTAGGTATAATTATAAACTTTAAAAATAATATATAACTCCATTTGACAACAAATACATTTCAATATACAACAGTTAATTAAATCTCCTTTTCAAATACTTTACAATTAAAACATTATATTTTTCCATTTAAAAATGTTCAAAAGGGCATTAAACTTATGAAAATGACCCATATTTTTAAATAATTCATTCTGGAAAATTAAGAAATACATATCATTCAGGACAAATGTATTTAATATAAGGAGACATAAGAAAGTACACAGGATTTTTTGTCCATAAACTACAAGGGTAAAATAAGAAATATTCAAATATATGAATAGGACTTTATGGGAAGAACTGTTAAACAGTAAAGGCAGCAGTCCTATAATTCGCATATTATGATACACAATTTGTAATACAAATATATCTTTCCATTTGTGGCATTTGACAGGAACTACCATACTTTATAAATATTTGCATATATATTTACATATATATTTAAAATAAAACAATATGAGAATTCTAGAGACAGTTTTAAATTATATGCAATTGACTTATAAAAATATGACCAAAACAGAATCAGTAATAATTATAATTTTAAGTGTTGGGTGTGACCATGATATGGTCTAATTTATGTTGTAGAATACTTATAATTATTTCAAATTTATTAAGCAAATATAATAACAAATTTCAAAATGCATGCTTTCCTCCTTTCTTTTCTTCTTTTTTTTACTTACTGCTTTGTAAGTTCTCTTCTGTCCAGCATGTTTTCGAATTTGTTCTCCATTTGGCCCTGTTTCCACATGCATCGAATAGATAATGTCAAAGAAATCTTCAACCACAGCTACTCGCCGCAAAGACAGCTTCTCATCTACGCCAACTCCATCCTAGAAACAAAACAAAACAAAAACCCCACAATATCAATATAGTCATTTGCATTTAACACATAAAATTGATTAAGACAAAATATTTTGATACTCTGAGATGAATCATCTACATAGAAAACTTGAAAAATTCATGAATGAATATTCTACCATTTTATGCATTACTTACATACAGGACTGTAAGAAATGGAAGAAAGGCATACTTAATATTATGTAAATAATGCCTATCCACAATTTCCATCTTTTGGGTTTTTATTTGTAATCATCCGTATAAGTCTTTAATGTTATTTTAAAATACATTTTAATGCGTAGTAATTTTTATTGCAATAATTTCATTCTGGATACGGCTTGATTCATTAAACCAATGTTTGAGTTACTGAGTCCTAGGAGTTGTAATTAGAAAAATTAAAGAGATAATACTGAGTCTCTTTCCTCAAACATCATCTAATCTAGAAAAGGAAATGCATATATTATCAAGGTTAAACTCAAGGACAAGGTGTTAAAAGTTAATGCTGAGAGTCTTAGAAATCACCTATGTGTGAACTGTGGATCTCGATCACTTAAACTTCAGTTCACTTAATTTCTTTAAATTTTGTTTTCACGGCTGTGAAATGATGATAGTAGAATCATTGTAAAAATTAAATGAAATAATGTATGTAAAGGATGTAACCCAATGTTTAGCATATACTGAATACTCAGTAAATGGTAGACTTAGTCATTTTATGGCTACATATAAGCAAAATACTATAGGAGTTCAGAGGATGAAGACATCACCTCCTGCTAAGGTAGCTTCTTGGAAGAAATATAATTTGACATCAGGAAGAAGTTGAATCAGGGCAAGTCATGGCAATGGGAAGTACAGTCTAGATCCAAGAGTTTGCACAGATGATAGAGAAGAATGAGAAGTTAGGATGGAGATAATGAAAAAGGCTAATCTTACATGCTTACAGAATGAAAGGGCTTCCTACTTGTGAAGTCCCTCTCTCCCTCAAACACACACACACACACACACACACACACACACACACACACTAACCTGAAGTAACACCATACATCCATTCATATTCATACTGGTAAACAGCACAAGCCAGTAAGTAAAATTATTACACAGTATATAGCCAAATGACAAGAGTCTCTTTAAAAAGTAACTCCAGCAGGCTGAGTTTACTGTAAAACTGAAAGTGAACCACCAGGCACTTTCTACTTTCTGTTGATTTGATTTTTCTCTTTCTTTCTTTCCTCCCTTCTTCCCTCCCGGACCCTGTTTCTTAATTGCATTAGGTCTTGTAGGTAGCAGTGACTAAAGCAGCACATTGCAATAACAGGACATATGAAATTGCATGTTAAGCCAAACAGCCAGGCCTCTCACCTCTCTTCACTCTTTAGTGCTCCCTTCACAAATTATCTCAGATGCATATAGTTCATAATTTGATTTCAGACTTTCCACATCTCTTCTGTGACATCTTGAGGTCTCTCTTCTATAACTGGGGCCCCCTGGATATTACCTCACTGCCTTGTGAAACAAGACCAGTAGATTCTGGGAGTCCAGAGAAGCTGCATGAAGCATGCCAGTGTCCAGCCTGGAAAATTGCTAGAGCTTAGAGGGAAGTGTCCAGGAAAGCATGATTCCAGATGCATCTTCCTGGCCTGCATTTTCAGAGAGATTTTTTTTTTTTTTAGGCCAGAAACCCAAATTCTAACTTTTTCCATCAATAAAACTGTTGGGCATGGTGGCATGTGCCTGTAATCCCAGCACCTCGGGAGGCTGAGGTAGTAGGATCTCGAGTTTAAAGCCAGCCTCAGCAAAAGTGAGGCATAAGCAACTCAGTGAGACCCTGTCTCTAAATAAAATACAAAAGATGGCTTGGGACATGGTAGTTTATATATATATATATATATATATAAACTACCTATGAAACTTGTCTCCTTTGCTCCCAATCATCAATGTGTAGCATCTACCTAGTTCCCTTGCTATATAACTATATAAGCTAATAAATTTGTGTTGTTAGTCACTATATATTCATTTGTGTAAATAAATATATTACTTATTCCCAAATTCATTAGCATGTTTACCTATTCACCCAGCTAAACACTAAAACCACAGCCCATTTATTCATTTTATCTAGTATCCAACAAAATCTAAGTACTGCCAAACCCTGTGCTAGCTACTACGCTTACTGAGATGTATGAGATAGATAATAGAGGTTTTTGTGCAGTTAACCATCTACTGCAGAAACTAGATATTCAAACAAATGATTATTAGCATGAATATCAATTTCCTTTGGGTTCTATAACAAATGGCCATAACATGGATTGCTTTTTAAAAAGAGAGAAATTTATTCTATCATAGTCCTAGAGGCCCAAAGTCCAAATTCAAGTCCAGTAGAGTGGCACTCCTTCCCAGAAGGTCTAGGGGAGAACCCATCCTCTGTCTCTTCTAGCTTCTGGCAGTCGCCAGCATACTCCCACTTGTGGCTGTATCACATGACTTTTTGTTCTTCTGCATGCCTCTACTCTAATGTGCTCTCTCTACTGTAAAGACCTTTATGATGGCATTTAAGTCCATCCAGATAATCCAAGATAATTTTCTCATCTCAAAATCTTTAACAAAGGTATATCCTCAAGGGCCCTTTTCCCAAACAAGCTAACATTTACAAGTTTCAGGGTTTAGGATTTGGGTGCTCCTTATTGAGCCAGCTATAGATGGTATTGGCTCACAGGAGGTACAAATTGTGCTATAGGAGAATGTGTTGGAGATGCTTCACAATCATTCAAAACTCAAAATTTTTCATGAATTCAGAAATTCAGGATTTATCAAGGTAATATTGAAATCACACATGTTAATGGAGAAAAATGAACTATAATTCTCCCATCATGTGGCTCTGTTTACTGTGATTCAACATCAATTCACACCCACATTCTATGATTAAAACTCAAAAATACTTTCAGAGATTGAACTTATAATATAAATGACCCAAATGTCCATTGTAGGTTCCAACTAGGGAATGAGATTTAAAAAGAACAAAAAGGCACCAGATTGGAAAGAAAGAAATAAAACTATCTTTGCAGATGCTTTGCATGTTATTGTAGAGATGACATGATCTCATACACAGAATATCCTAAGGAATCCACAAGAAAACTGGTAGAGCTAATAAGCAAGGTCAAAATCAACATACAAGAGTCAATTATGTTTCTATTTATTAGTGAATACAAAATTGAATTAGAGAAAATAATTTCATGTCATAGGACACCAAAACAATACAATTTTAGGAACAAATTTAGATATAAAATTAACAAATTTATAAAAATTAACAAAAGAAATTTAAGACTTATACACTAAAACTACAAAATACTGTTAAGAGATATTTAAAATGAGGTGGAAATAAATGGGAATACATCCTATATTCATGGATCAGAACATTTAACATAGTTAAGATGACAATACTAAAAGTTTTTTTCACTTTAATCAGTGAAATTTCTTACCAATATCCCAGTTAGCTTTTTACAGAAATTGGCAAGCTCATCTATAATTCATATATAAATGCAAAAGAAAAAGAATAATCAAAATAATTTTATAAAGAAGATATTTGGAATTCATACTCTTTGTAATTTCAAAGATTACTGCAAATCCAAAGTCTTTGTTAGGTAGCCTGGTATTTGTTCGAAAATTGATATATAGATGGGCAGAACAGAATCTATATGTCAGAAATAAAGCCTTACATTTATTCAGTTCATTTTCAAGAGGAGTGACAATGCAATAGAGAAAGAGTTATCCTTTCAATAAATGCTACCAAGACAATTATGTCCCCAGTTCCAAAAAAAAAAGAAGTCTGATCTCTACTGAGCCACACATACAAAAGTTAAGTCAAAATGGAGGATAGATCTAAACATAAGAGCTAAAACTTGAAATTCTTACAGGAATACAAAGGATTAAAATGTTTGTTACTTTTGGTAAGGCAAAGTTCTCAGAATTATGACACCACAGGTAACAGTAATTAAAGAAAAATTCATAAATAACTACATCAAAATTAACTTTTATACTACAAATAATTCTCTGAAAAAAAGTAAAATGACAACCCATAGAAATAGGATAAAATATCTGAAAATCATAAATCTAATAAGGAGTTCTCATTAATAATACATGATCACATACCAAAGGATCACATCCTCTTGAAAATGAATTGAATAAATGTAAGACTTATTTCTAAAGTCTGAATTGTATTCCACTGATGTATATATCAGCTTGTATACAAATATCATGTTACTTAATAAAGACTTTGGATTTATAGTAATCTTTGAAATTAAGAAGGGTATGACCTCTAAATATTTTCTATATAAAATTATTTTGATTTTTATTCCCTTGAATTTATGTATGGATTATAAGATCCATTAGTCAATAATATTTAATAATAGAAAGCCAAATAACTCAATTTAAAAATTGGAAAGACTTTGAATATCAATTTCTACAATGATGATGTTCAAATGACCAACATGAAGACGAAAAGGTGATCAATATCATTAGTCATCAGCAAGTGAAAATCAAAATTGCCATGAGACCCTACTTCACATTCACCTGGATTGTTGAAATGAAAATATCAAGTATGAGTGAGGATGTATAGAAATCAGAACCCTCCTACACTGCTAATGGGAATGCAAAATGATTCAGTTGCTTTGAAAACAGTTTAGCAGTAACAGAAATTAAACACACACTTATCACATGGCCTAGCTAGTGTTCAAAAATATATATTCAAGACGAATTATAAAACAAGTGTACACTAAATGTATCATATGCAAATACTAATAGTACCATATTTGTAATAGCAAAAAAAATGGAAATGTAAGTGTCCCTGAACTGTGGAATGGAAAAATGTGGTATTACCATACAAGTGAGTATTATTCTGCTACAAAAAGAGATGAAATATCAATCATGGTGTAGTGTGGATGAACCTTGAAGCTGAGTGAAAGAAGACAGACACAAAAACCACATATTATATGATTCAATT